CACCATTCCTCAGAAAGCCCCAAGTTATTCAGTCCTTCCTTTTAGGAAAAGGTTTCTAGACTCCCTTATCATTCCCATTGCTTCCCTCTGATTCTGTTCTGCTGCTCCGTGTTTCTCATAATGTGTAGTGCCCACAGCTGAGCATCCTATCCATGGTTTTATTGTCACAGCATAAACCAAGGGGTTGCTTTGCATGTGTTACACGTCTCAGAATTAGATTTACACTTTTTATGTGTGATGTTGCCAGTTGGTCTTCTGCATGTACACCCTGATTCATTTCTGGAAGACCACCTATCGAATCAGTGATGCTGCTGCTCCACTTCACAGGCTGTTTCCTTCCTGCTCTCTAATATATGCATGGAAACAAGGATTGCCTGCATTTATCATCCAGATAACTGCTGAAAATGCTGAATAGCCTAAGACCCACATTACCGCCTAAGACCCACAATACATCCTTCTCTTCTGAGGTTAATTGGTGCCACTCAATATGCTCTTCCATTTGACACAGTTGTGAACCATGTTAAGGCCGCTTTATTTTCAGGGACTTTCCAATCAATTTTTTACTCACCTTATAATCCTTATAATAGGTTGTATTCCCCTAACCTGACAGATAGTGCAAAACTTCTTATTAAAGTCAAGCAAAGTGACAGGGTGTCTCACTACACCTGAGTAAGGAGCTCACTACAGAGGCTGGCTTAAGACGTGCACTTTACAGGATTAAGTATACTTGATTAACTATAACCTGCTGGTAAAAAGGAGAAGGGAAGGAACAAGTATGATCATGCAATAATGTGCTTCATTTATGAGTTTCTTTTAAGGTCCTGAAATATTCCTGCTAAGGCCAGAGCAATGATGATTGCAAATAGGAACATCTAGAGAAGAAACTTATCTGTACTACACAGCTGTGTTTGCATGCGGAAGTATTAAAGAACCCAATGTAGGCATCTCTGTGTTCATGAAGTTGTGGCAACACTCACTACAGGGATACTAAATATATCAGGAATTTTTAAGCTGGAAGCTTAGCCAAACGCTAACTCTGAGCAGAATAAGATTAAGAACTTAGGGTCCTCCCTTTCTGCTCATTAGACCATTTTATTGTAGCAACAATGCTCTTGGTGTTTGATTCCCACAGGGAAATACTAAGGAATGTTTGGGGTTGCTGCAGACTAACTTGATGGTTTTGGAGAATGGCACCAACAGCCAAAAGAGCCAGCATGATGTTGGATGTTGCTGGGAATGGGCAGAGAAGATCATTTTGCTGTCATATAAAATCTTGGTGGGCCTACATGTAGGGGAAATCCTGCCATTGTGGTCTCTGCATCTCAAAAAGGGTATAGTGGAATTGGAGAAAGTCCATAGAAAGGCAACTGAAATAATCATGGGACACAATCATGGAGCAGTGGCCTTACAAGGACAGACTGCAGAGGTCTAGGACTGTTCAGGATAAGGATGTGTGTAGGTTAACTGTATCATGGAGGTGAGGGATTGCAGATCCCCCGATAACAGAACTACAGGACGTTTGGTAGGACATCAGTATAGAACATAAAAGCAGTCCCTTGTTTGCACAGTGGGTCCTTTAGCTTGCTGCCAGAGGAGGTTGTGGAGGCCAATGGTACTGGCAGGTTGTCATAGTTTAAATCCCAGCCAGCAATGAAGCACCACAAGTTGCCCACTCACTCCTCCTCAGTGGGAAGGAGTTGGAAGGGTAGAAGTGAGAAAACTCATGGGTTGAGATGAAAACAGTTTAATAAATGAAAACAAACAAGCAAATAAACAGAATCGTGTCATAGAATCCCAGGCTGGTTTGGGCTGAAGGGAAAGCTCCTCCAGTTCCAACCCCTGCCACGGGCAGGGACACCTTCCACTAGAGCAGCTTGCTCCAAGTCCCTGTGTCCAACCTGGCCTTGAACACTGCCAGGGATGGGGCAGCCACAGCTTCTCTGGGCACCCTGGGCCAGTGCCTCAGCACCCTCACAGGGAAGAACTTCATCACTGGATCTATAAAGCAAGGAATGCCCAACTGAAAATGTAATACCACTTGGGTTCATTTGATGCAAAGGGGGCAAGTCCTTTGGTCCAGACCTCTGAATTTCTGTTTGCTCCCCAGCTTCTGAATGATTCTGCTTTCTTCCCATCAGACAAAACTGCACCAGATCCACTGCACAATCAGCTTACAACCTCCACTACTCAGACCTCCAGACCAGACGAGTTAGTGCAGCATTTTAAAAGCACCTGCAGGATTTCAGAAGGCCCTTGTTAAGCCTACACCTAAAGAGGGCTGGAACTGTGTCTGGTTTACTTCCTGGCAACCCCATTTCTGCCTCTTTCTTGGCATTGCACAAAAATGATCTTCATCATCTCGTCTGTGGTGACCTAGGCCATGATCTTTTCCTTCTTCTCCTAAAAGAGAGGACTTCCCTGAGCAGCAGAACTCTGGTGATCAATGAAGGGAAGACAATAAGCAATAGAGACCATTTTCACCCTGTACACCTTCCCAGGTGCTCAAGACCCTCCTATTTCTCTTCATCACCCAGTTTCCACTGAGTTTTCATAGCACCTCCCCTCCTTTACTGCCACACACCTCTATTGCTAACACCTAATGTACATCATCTAAATTATAACGCTAATTATGGGGGGGTTTATCTCACAACCCCCTGGTTTTTCTGTGTCTGGATAACTTTCCCCCTTGCTGGGTCTCTGTTCCCACGTTCCCCTTTTCTGCCTCGCTCTGCTTCGGGTCAGTTGCTTGCAGAAGCAGCACTGTTTTTTCCTGGTACTGTTGAGCAAGCTGCCCTGTTTCACAGAGCTGACCTAACTAATTGCTCTCACAAGCAGTAACCTGTTTTTTTCCCCTCCTCTGACCTTTCAGAGGTCTAAATGGCAAGTTTCAGGTCTTGCTCATGAAAGCTGTGCTTGTAGCCATTAGCCACCTGGGGTCACCGTGCCTCCCAGGACAACTGAGAGGTACATCGTGTGTTCTTGCTAGGATAAAGACTCACCATTTCTAATCAAATCTTAGTGCCTATTATCCAGCTACGCTGGGATTTGCTGCTTGAAAGCAAATGGCTGTGAAGGAGGGAGCACGTTCAGCTCATCTGCCAAAAAAAGACCTTTTCCAGCAAAGGACAAATTCATCTTTTTGAGAATCCTAGAATCCTAGAATGGTTTGAGTTGGAAAGGGCTTTGAGAGCATCCAGTTCCAACCCCCCTGCCATGGGAAGGGTTGCCTCACCATAGACCATGTCACTCAAGCCCCATCCAGCCTGGCCTTGAACACTGCAGGGATGGAGCATTCACCACTTCCCTGGGCAACCCATTCCAGTGCCTCACCACCCTCACAGTAAAGAACTTCTTCCTTATATCCTATCTAAACTTCCCCTGTTTCAGTTTGAACCCATCACCCCTTTTCCTATCACTACAGTCCCTGATGAAGAGTCCCTCTCCAGCATCCTTGTAGCCCCCTTCAGCTGGTGGATAGTTCATGGAATCATAGAATGGTTTGGGTTGGAAGGGACCTTAAAGATCATAGAATCTGTGTGTGCAGTGCAAACTGCTGCCCTCTGCTCAGAGTTTGCAATCATTAACTGACCAGCAGGGTTTTGAACAGTTGAGAGAGGCAGATTGAGCTGGAGGGCTGCAGAAAACATCCCCCATCTCTGTCTCCAACATGGAAATAGCTATAAAATTAAATAGTTTGATGAAGCAGGAAATAGAAGGGGATGTTGGGGAGTAAACCCATGCACCTCCAAAGAACAGACCCCATGTTTAACAGGGGAAGGAGAAATTGTGCTTAAAAGTCTGTGATTTAGACCTCATAGCAGCCTTCCAGTATCTGAAGGGGGGCTATAGGGGTGCTGGGGATGGACTCTTCATTAGGGACTGTAGTGATAGGACAAGGGGTAATGGGTTAAAACCTAAACAGGGGAAGTTTAGATTGGATATAAGGAGGAAATGCTTTCCTGTTAGGGTGGTGAGGCACTGGAATGGGTTGCCCAGGGAGGTTGTGAATGCTCCATCCCTGGTGGTGTTCAAGGCCAGGTTGGACAAAGCCTTGGATGCTATGGTTCAGTGTGAGGCATCCCTGCCCATGGCAGGGGGGTTGGAACTGGATGGTCTTAAGGTCCTTTCCAACCCTAACTATTCTTTGATTCTATGATTTCTTTCTGGGCAAAGTAACAAATATGTTTTACCAACCCAGATGGCTGGGGTTCTGTGTATGCAGTTGTGCATCTCCAGATACCTTGGAAAAAGGTGAAGAGTTGGGGTCTAAGACTTGCAGACAGGATTTTCAAGAGCAAATCTCTTGAAGTCCTTCAGTGGACTATGGCAATGGTGTTTCCTGTTATGCTATTAAAAATGGAAGGGGATTTGGAGCATGGAGTCCCAGCGTGAGCAAAGCATTTTATCCACATCAGTTTCTCCATAAGCCTTACATGTTCCCTGTGCCCTGATGCATTTGGGTTTGGGCAGTAATCTCTTGGCCAAAGCCTTGTTGAACCCTATAAGAGAACTTGTCACTTGCATCAGTAAAGCTGCACAAAAGCTTTCATGAAAAGGGTGAAGGGAGATTCATCAGGAGAGAGATAACAGGGGCTGTACCATCTCATCTGTCTGCTGCTCTTATGAGCACTGCTAAACCTTTTCTCACCTTTGCTCGTGCTGGGGGAGAAGATGCAGATTAGTGTTTCTCCCTGTAGATATCACATTATTCACTCCTCAAAAAGGTCTGTTTTGGGTCTCCCTTGTGTCAACTGCCTTTCACAGCGCCATCACCCTGCTGAGAGTGAGGACGAGAGTCTCTGAACAGAGACACTAACCCAGGATCCTCTGTGTGTGTGCCTATGACTGACAGATGCATTTAAAAACATGTCACATCTATTTCTTAGCATGCCTGTTAGGAAGACTTCATTCCTTGAAGATTTATAAAGGAGAAGTAAACATCCAGCATGTAATAGTTGTGTAATAATCCACAAACCCATTAAAACCTTGCCCACTTCTGCTGACCTCAGCTGTAGTGGAACAGCTCTGGAGTCAGCAGCTCTGATGTGTCAAACCACTTCCTACACACAACAGCACGCACCACCACACTGAGCATTAAGTTTGAGTTCCTGGATTAAAGCTACTAATACTTGAACAAAGAGCAGACTTTATTATCTCTTGCGGAGCCAGCCCAGTGAAATGACGATTTGCTGACCAAAGAGCAAAGTCCTTGCTGTGCACACAGGGTGGGGATGCTCCCCACCAGTCTAACCAGGCAGTAGGAGGCTCCTTGGCTTGGCTGGCAGCAGCCCATCACTTCTAAGAAACTTCACCGTCCTCAGTGTGGCAGAGAAAAGATGTGAACAAGTCCCATGGAGCTCAAGTGCCTTTTGATGTGGCTCTTGTTTGGATCCGTCAAGGGGAACAGGCCAGGTAAAAGACTATTTCTGCCTTTTGGGGAGGGAAAATACGATTCGCTTTCTTGTGGTGGCTGCTGGAGGATGTTCGCGACATCCTGACTCCTTTCAGGTAAGGAAATATGTTAACAGCTTAAGGAATTTATTATTCTAAGGAAATGAGAGAAACGGGGTTTGTGCCCACAAGCCATCGACTGCAGACAATCCAGAGCACTACAGAATGCTTTTTGTCTGAGTAATGCATGTGTCACCCAACCCACCATTGGAACAGTGGGCAGATCAAAGCAACCTTGTGCACCTTAGGTAGCTCTTTGAATTTGTAGAGTTTTTTTTCCATTCTGCATGTAAGTTTAGGAAATACAAAAATAGGCACTGAAATGTCAGTAACTATAGGTAAAACTGATGGCAATGCTCTTCGAAGGTGCCATCCATGTTTGCTATGGGTGCTATAGATACCAAGTATTCTCTCAGCCACACCTCCCAACCAGTAGTGCCTGTAAACTGTGAACGGAGGCAGCTAATTCATTCAGCATAATTTTACACATTTCTAAATGGTGATACTGCTTATATTTGGCTTATTTATTGTGACAAGTGTGTGCTCTGAGAAATGGTCTGGTGATATATGGGTGTGTTTGAGTTTTAATTGCTTTGTTCAAAGGGGAAGAAAAAACATCTTACATTCTCAGTGCTCTATAAATGTGATTATTTAATAGACTCATAGAATAGTTTGGGTTGGACAGTCATCTAGTCCAGTCCCTCTGCAATGTGTAATTCTTCTGTATCTGATGATGATGCCCAGGTTGAGAGGTACGAGCAGCCTAAGGCACGTTCTCAGGCACGCTGGTACTGTACCTTCTGATGGATCATCTGTAGCCTAGGGGCTGGGCATCTCAAGGGAACATTGTGTTGCTGCAACCAAACTCATTAATGCAGGAAGTACCTTCATAAATATTTAACCTGCAGGTGAGTTTATTCTCATTAATTTGCCAGTAAATGCTGTACTTTCTCCTCCATGGGGCATTTTCATTGCCAAATAAAGTGCCAGTGCCCACAGCAAGCATTTCAGTGCTGCGTGCGAGAGTATCACTGCAAGACGTTCAGCCAGAGATATGTAAATAGGATCGGTTCTGGGATGAGTCAGGTTCCCTATATCACACTTTCCATATTACTATGCATGAGATTTCTTGCTGGCAAGTCTCGTTTATCAGAAATCTTTCTGGTTTATGGAAAAAAATGGAGGGGTGTCAGAGCAGTTGCATTTTGTGCTATTCGATGTGATTTCATTCTCTGATGGACAAATAAATGCATAGCTTTGCATTCTTCACTGCATCACTAAGATTTTCTTTCCTCAGCTTCCTGTGTTTATTTTCAATGTCTCACCCAATGTTTAAACGTAGTATTTACCCATAGATATATATCTTTTAATTTCTCCATGCAAATAATGCGCTAAGGTAGAAACACCAACTTCTACCAATATTTTTCATTTTAGAGATGCCTGAATTGTTGTGGCTCTAAGGCTCATAGTGTTTATTTCCTCTGGGAGATTAACAAGGAGACTTGGGAACAGCCTTCAGCAAAGAAAAGGGGAAGTGGCTAGGTCAAACTGGTCAAAAATCAACTATGCCTCAGTACAGACAGTGCTGTTTGTGTTCTCTTGCCTTGGCCTTTCCAGCACTGCAAGTTCAGTTTCGTAAATAGATCCTGCTGTAGAGGCTGTTTGGAAGAGGGTTTCTGGCAAAATGCACTATCAGGAATAAATATAATGAGGGGGAATAGAAAACAAGAAGTCTTTGTTTTACTGAACAGTTTCACTGCTGGATCTCAACATGCTTTGAGAGGGAAAAGTCTTCTAATATATACCTGGGGAAACTAAGGCATGGGATGATTATTTAGTATCAGTTAAACTACACCTTAGTGCTAAAGAAGGTAAGAGAAATGCTGATTTCCTAAGAAAAAGCATCATATTTATCTCATTTACTCTTCACAGCAGCAGTGCCTAGAAGCTGCAGGCATGAATGAGGCTTGAAGTGTGCTAGGTGAGGGTCAAATACAAGATAAAAGCTGACTTAAGCTCCTCCGACCTTCCCATCTTGCTATTCATCTTGCAGGAATGCACTAAATAGGTTTGTAAGTTAAACCTGGAAAGGATTAAAACTCACAAAAGAAAGAATTTCATTCAGCTGAATTCACACAAGATGGGTACCAGATCTCAGCCATTTAAATGAGAGGAATTTCTTCCCCATTATACTTGCATATGAGGGCTCGCTCCCATGGATTTGAAATGCAATGAGGAATAAATTAAAGCTGTCAAACACGTGCAAGTATTTCTCCTAAGGTCAACCAGAGAGCAAATACCTTTATAAACCTTCCAGCTACAGTGCCCTCAGCAGCAAAGTGACCAATATACAGCTACAATTAAAAAGAAATTGTTAATAAGTTGTGATCCTGCTGAGGACGTTATGGACAGAGATCCTGCAGTATCTGCTTCTGCCCTGAGATGGAGAAATCTTCTCCCTACTTCATCAGAGATGAGATGCTATGCCCTTTCCTTTTATTACAGAAAGGAATCCACTCTTCAGTTACTTTTAGAAAGCCACTAGCTTTGATTGTGCTTTGATTTTTGCCTTCAGATTGTTGCAGTATTGGTCTCCCCGCTTTCTACATTGATCATAGAATCATAGAATAATTAGGGTTGTAAGGGACATTAAGATCGTTTAGTTCCAACCCCCCTGCCAAGGGCAGAGACGCCTCACCATGTAACCCAAGGCTCTGTCCAACCTGGCCTTGAACACTGCGAGGGATGGAGCATTTACCACTTCTTTGGGCAACCTGTTCCAGTGCCTCACCACCCTCACAGTAAAGAACTTCTTCCTTATATCAGACCTATTCATCTTTGTCTCTCCTGGTTTTCCCATTGCATTAATTGCATCTCTAAAGCACAGCTTTTGGATGTTTTCTCCCCACGGTTTCCATCTCCTGACCCTGGTCCTGAATCTTGGAACAACCTGACTTACCATGCCTTTGCTCCATCTCCTCTGATGCTTCTCCAAATCTCACATTTCCAAAGTCCTTCCGTTGTCTTTCTTTGTTTGACAACCTGTTCCTCAGCCCTGCCAGGGTAGCAGCACTCAGTCATCTGCTGCTTTATTTTTATCCTCTCCATTTGTAAAGGTGAAGTATATACAGCCCTCTCTAATTGGCAAAACACTTCATGCATTACAGCGTCAGAAAAATCAGCAACACTAACAAATAATTTCCAGCCCACTCGTAAGAGATCCAGCAAAAAGCTTGATGACCATGCTAAGGCCACAAGTCAAATAAGACGAGTCTTAAAGCCACCTGAAATCAAGAGTCCCACCAGACCTTTTCCCACTGTTACCCAAGACTGGGACGTGCGCTTGCCAGCCAGTCCAGTTCCTTTCTATGGCCCTTCCAATGCAACAAAAGGCAAAGTTGAGACTGGTCCAGCCAAAGAAAAGGATCTGAATTTCTGCTGCTGTTTTAAAAGCAGATTTTCTTGCTCAGGAATGTGTTTTTCCCTTTAGATGAAAACACTGAAGAGGTGGGTGTTGCTGAAGTCACAGATTAAAGCACAAATGTAACCAAACCTGTTTAAAACCCAAATGTCACACTCCAAAACAAGGCTCTCATGTACGATATTCTCAAAAGCAGACTCTGTGTTCTGCTACCATACCATGTGCAGTGGTTGTCTTTACAGAGTTTGAGCTCTGTGGCTTTACCACGGAACTAAGACGGGTATAAACATCCAGAAATAAAAGCAGAAGAAAACCAGATGTTCCCTATTCTCCGCTTCGTACCTTTTCTATGCAGTGCACTGTGCTTGTCCTTCTCCCTGCCCTAGGAAACACTCTCCCTCTTTTTTAATACTCCAATTCCACATTTTCAATCCAAATTCTCAGCCTCCTCCCAGGGGAGGCATGAGATTCGTCTTGCTTAGCTTCAGCCATCTGCACCATCTTCTCCATCAAGCTGGACCTGTGGATCCCCTTTGTAACCAAGGGGAAGAACATAGCACTTTCAGGGCACAGTTGATCTGCCAGATTGCAGATAAGGTGCTGTGAGTCATGTCCTGTGTCTTTCTAGTGACTACACATAGAATTGAAATGTCTGCTTGTTTTTTGGCTGGGTGGCATTCACTGCATGCCTTAAAACAGGAGTGAGTTGGATATGAAAGGAGATAAATATGTTTAAGGAGAGGGGTAGTCAAGAAACAGCAGAAGACGAAACAGCATCTGCAGGCTGCTTTGCTGGGAACTCACAGTGAAGTGAGCTTTAAAATGCTACCAGTGCCTTAGCTAAACCACACTGCTTATCAATGTGAGCATGTAAGAGTGTCCTTCCACCACTGTGGCTGATAAAAAGAGAGAAGCACCTTGAAGCATTACTTTGGAGTGCTTAAATTAGGTGTTTGCTGTCCTCTAGAGAGGTCTGCCCAGTTTCACTTGTTACAGAGAGAGCTAAGAAGGCAGGTTCCTGAGGCAAAGTTATGCTTAGTGTGAGAAAAATCTTGCTTTGCTGTGTATGGAGGTATTTTTGCATTCAATTCCACTGTCTAGGTCAGTGGCAAACAGCTGGTTAGCATGAGTAAGCCAAGAGATAAGTGCATTTCACCCCTATCGAGTTGTCTATGGTCCTACAAGGAGTTAATGGACAGCCCCTGCTGGTTCCTGTTCCAGTTTATTTTACACTGTCTTTCCAACAGAGCCATCTCCCAGTACAGCAAACTCAGCAGGCATTGAACTGCCTAGTCCTTAGAACAGGACATGCCTCTTCTCCACTGCTAGGAACATTACAACCCATTTCCTGCCCCATAAGGCTGCCTTTTGAATTAAAATTTGTGCCAACTAACTTCATCTGCAGTGTATTTCTGTCCTTTACACTGCAAACTCATTACTACTCCCATGACTTTGGGGGATAATCTCTGTGTAATTGACAGTATAGCTAAACAAATTCTCACAGGCAAATTACCCTAAGTTTCAGGTCTGCACCCCATCC